GCCATGTATTTAAAAGGATGAATTTCATCTGATACCTATCCCCTGCACAGTAGTCATTACATGTACAATCTGATTTAAGTTTCAAAAGCTCTGCATTTTGCCCACTGAGTGTAGTTATATGCATCAGAGGACTTTCAGAATAAATGCCGCAGTTTCTGCTTCAACTTCAGTCAGCCCACAACAATGATCTCAATCCTCCTCCACCTCTGACTTTCCTCAAATGAGTTTTCCAATCTATAGTCACCAAGTGCTTCACTTCTATAAAAAGATGGCAGCACCATTACTCACATATGGCTTGCAGAACAGGGCCATCAATTCGATGGACAGAAGATTTATGGAAATGGCAGAAACCAAACCCTTACAATGGGCATCTAGATACAACCTGAGCATCTAAGTGAGTAACAAAAATATTAAACAGCCTTTAAATATTTTTAATTTAAATAAAACTCAAAGAGATTAAAGACATCTGGTATGAACATACAGTGACTGCAGTATTTTGGGTTGTAACAGCATGTGGTCTTGTATGTGGATACCAATGTTTCAGGGTAACACGCTACCTCAATATTCAGGGAAGAAAAGAGTGCGGTGTGGAGAGTTATGCTGTGTAACCTGGTTGCAAGGAAGGCTGTCATCTATATCCACAGGAAGAGAAAAAGGAGGGGGCACATTAATGTTAGTACCTATGCACAGGACAACAAAGTTTCACAGCCCAGGCCACACAATCTGAACAGTCACTGGTATGGAAACCTCAAATTATATGAACATTTTTGTGTACGGACTGAGGAAGAACTAGGGAACACATTACAGATTATAAGCCAGTTGGACACAGGATCATAGCCCAAGAAGACACTGGGAAAACTCCGAGACAGAATAAGCCAGTCAACTCACCCTGAAGATGGTAGCAATGATCGTAACTGCCCCCAGGAGAAATCTACAAGGTGATTTGTCCCTGTGCTTAATTAAACATCACATCATGAAGATTTAATGGGGAATGAAGATAGAGCTCTATACATTCCTAACTCAGCACCCTGGCTGCTTTACCCCCAGGAAATGATGACCTCCAAAGCTGATCTGTATGATGTGAGGAAGAAAAGCAGTCCATGCCTATGCCAGGAATTGAATCCTGATTCCTCAAACATCCAGCCCATAGCCCATCACTATGCTGAGTCATTCTGACTACCCATATTTATAGGTACAGGGATAAAACATAACACCATGCCCAAATTCTGAACTGATTACATAGTGGTTAAGAAGGAACAGTCTGATTTTCAGTTGTTTTTTTTTCCCCCCCAGTAGTTTAAGGGGCATTACACTAAGCCCAGAGCATGTATGGGGTTCACAAAATGATTCAAACACTAGCATGACTCCAAAATAAATTTTAACCTTTTAAAGCATGATGTACTACTGGTTTTAGCATTAAAATGCACTGACCTTTGCCCACACAGGATATTTATGGGTTTAATATAATTTTTGCATGTGATCACTTCTCTGAACAGCATTACTTACCTGTCTTCAAAACAGAGATTCTGTGTGTTACCCGTAAGCTTTGAACTAGAATTGTAACTATTATTCAGATAAAATTCTTGCTTCAAAGGGTTAATGAACAGGGAGTTTAAAAGTGGTTTTTTGACTTAGAAGCTACAGTCAAAGAAATCCATATTGTCTGGAATATGTCAGGAGCTGTAGTCATGTTTCCATTATGTACAAGGAACATGTAACTCTAATCAGTTCAGATCATGCTTTGGAGTATTGTACTAGTACAGACCAAAATAATTTCCCAAAATTTTAGTCTCATGACTGTTTTGTTTCAAAGTGGAGCTGCGATAGCTCAGTCACTAGAGCAACAGGCTATGGGCTAGGATTCAATTCCCAGTAGGGACAAGAGATTTTTCTATATTATACAGCATCCAGACTGGCTCTGGGAACCACCCAGTCTCCTACTCAATGTCTCCCTCGGAGCAAAGCAGCTGGGGGGAGAGGGGGGGAAGCTGACCGCTCACCTCTATCTAGTGCTGAGGTCAAGAATTGTGGAGCTGTACCCCTGCTCCCCCATATGTCTTCATGGCATGGTGCATCATTAATTAAGCACAGGGGCAACTTCACCTTTCGCTTTTTGACTGTTTGGTTTCAAAGTGATATCTGTTGCTAGACACAGATGTCCACTGATAAAAGCAAGTAGCTTATAACAGCTGGTAGAGAGCAGTATACCACAGACCAAGCAAAATTAAATGTGGCATTCAAAACATCCGGATACTCAACTGGAAAGGGTTAAATACATTCACACCCAAGCACCACAACACCTCACATAATTCAGCAGGCTATTTATCAGTAATGTGACAATGATAAAATTGTGACCATCTGTGCTGTAATGCCATTACAGTCTTGTACGGGGACAATAACTTCACACGTGAACATGGTGCCTCAATCTTCAGAGTGAGAGAGTATGCTAAACAGGAAACCAGCAAAAGCAGACTGGAAGCTCAGCTTACTTTTTCACCCTGAAGATGGAGAACTTTCAAGTTCCGACAGTAGTGGCTATGAAGAGTTCTAGCTTCTGGGATATAGCATCATGTATTCCATTAAAATTCAACAGACATTTTGGAGGAACATGTTGCTTCCATCATCAGGGTCAAAGAATAATCCAAGAAGGAAACCAGCATCCCATGTTCTTCTGAAACGTCAACTGACTTTCATTGGACTACACAGTGCTATATCCCAGAACTCTTTGTGGAGACGATATATTCCTCTGAAACGTCATGTTCTCTCCAAACTACACAGTGTTACAACCTGGAGACTGTACTGTTGCTGAGCTAGATGGCCTGGGTTCCATTCCTGAGAGTGCAAGATTTTCTCTCCTCCGTAGTGTCCAGACTGGCCCTGGGGTCCACCCAGCATCGTATACAATGGGTAACCTTTTCCTGGGTTAAAGTGGCAGAGGCATGAAGCTCACAACTCACCTCCACCTACTACCAAGGTCAAGAATGGTGGAGCTATACCTCCACTCCCCCATGTCTTCTTGACACACTGCTTAACTAATTAAATGCAGGGAAAACTTTACCTCATGCCCCCCCCCCCATATAGATATGAGTGACCTCTTTCTTTGGCTACACTCATACAGATTCTTTGTCACTTCAATCCTGAAATGGAGGCATTATACGAGTACTGCTCTGACACATCAGCATTTACAGACAAGACTACATGGTGTCGCAATGGACGATAACCTGAAAGTATTCATTCATTCTCATCCAGATTCACATTAATTACATCTGAAGTTCTTTTTTCATGTTTTACCATCTGCGTATCATTCAAGCTTACCTACCACCTTAATAACAGCATATTTGCTAGACAATATATCTTATGGTTCTGACCACCAACACAGCAACAAAGTGAAAAATATCTTCAGGTGGAGATAAAAACAGGTCTTGATATCCATCCTACTTGTTTAATATAAGCACAGATTTCTTGAGCTACATGTTTCGACCTATATTTTGGGTCATCATCAAGCACCTTTCTGTGATCGATAACCCAAGTTACAAAGGTACATGATGATGATGACGACCTAAATTATAGGTTGAAACATGTAGCACAAGAAATTTATGCTTATATTAAAATAAGCAAGATACATATCAACACCTGTTTATGTCTTCACCTGAAGATATTTTTGCTTTACTGTTGTGCTGACAGTCATCGCCATAAGATATTATACACACAACATGATGCAAAATATAAAGTTCACGCTAGACAGAATATCACAAGTTCCTATGACAGACTTCAACTAACCCGCTGCTGTCCTGTACATGAAAGAAAGAGAATCTATATATAATACTCATGTGATATATCATGTGGTTCTGAACTGTGGCATTCGATTAAATTGCAACAAATATTCAGACATGAAAGTGGAATCAGTAACATTTTATAATATTTTAAAATTGTCTCCTGACACAGCAATAAGATCCTGTAACAAAGTCTTCTCAGGCAATCAGCTATGTGAAGATGGAGTTAATATACCGTGACATGGCACTTGAAAGGCGGAACAGCACAGACAGAAGAGGCCACTACTGCTAGGCAATGGCTCTGTAAATATGCTCCTGAAGGAAAGGATATGCAAGCAACAATATAAGAACTGCTGGAGGCAGAGATGTCTATGCAGTCCTTGCCAAGGCTAGACAACAAGAGTCAGTCAGGTTCTCTTGAAAGGACAGCTCTGAAGGCTCCCGGAGCTGTCAGACAGTAAAATACAGTCGTGAGTCCCATGGGACTTGCAACCAAGAAATCACTGTGCTGGCGAGGGCCCACAACAATTTATAGCAAGTGTCACGTAACTTTGAACAAGGCCAAGAGTGCCAAGAGTAACCTTGAATGCGCAGAAGAAAAAATTCAGACAAGGGGGTGGGTTGCAGGAATGCAGGGAATGCGTGGCATTGCTCGAAGTTGCGTGACACTGTCTCTAACAGTCCGTCGGATGTCAGCACTCACTGGTTAACAGGTAGTTGTGAATCAGAAGTTACATTTGATGGTTGGACATGAGCATGGAAGTAGAGGAATCGCCAGGGTCCAAGATGGCTATCAAGCAACAACCGGTGATGTGAGAACAAGCTGGGAAGGTTCAGTGTGTGCTATAGTGACGTGAAGTGTGTGTAGGAAGTGTTATAGTGCTTTGTAGTTATGAGTCATAAGCACTGAATAAATTCAATATTCAATCCACATCCTGGGTCCAGTCACTAATTTCAGAGACCTTCACCCTCTTGAACATCACGCATTGATGTGATGAGCAGTGCGGCCATACTTTGTATTTATGCCCTTCATACTCATGGAGCCCATGTCCTGCCGCTGCACGGACCACTGGGGCAGGCAAAGGCAAGCAGTCAGGGCCCCAGGCTCTTAGAGCTTAAACTTGGGGCACAAATACACGTGGTCATGGCAGTCACCACATTAACCCAATGATGGTTATGATAGACACATGCCTCCAGAACACTGGATACTAACTGCATACTGACATGGATGGTCACCCAAGAAAACTTTATTGCCTACAGTCACTGCAAAAGCTTAAAATCTTATATAGTAAGAATCTTAGCCTGTTTGAATTATTTTAATATATCACAAAGAAGCCTAGACTTTAGAGCTACCTCTCAATACAACTTTCAGCAAACCTAGCTCCTTAACATATAATACACATTTCCAAAATAGAACAGGAATAGCTACATCTATAATAAATTAAACCCAGGCTCACTGCACTTCTAGAAACGGATACTGTATGATCCATCACACAGAGTGGCACATAACTACTGACATTTTGAGTACATGTCTCTCTTCATAGAGGATGAGGGCTTCTATATCTGTGACACTAACATAAGAAATTATCCCCGACCATTTGGTATTGCCAAAACATGACTGTTCAACCAATGTGATCACCTAGCTTCACTGTTATGGACTGCTCTGTGTATAAAACTAAACAAAAGACAAAGAGGTATGCCACAGAGCATTGTCAAGAACTGAGGAATATTATGGAAATTTGAACTGAATCAATGCCAAAAGAAATACAGGGAAAAAATGTTAGAAATTACACAATCTGCAGCCACTAGAGTGCACACACTTTGTAACAAGAAACTTCATTCAAGCTGTGTGCAACTTGAGGTTGCCACGGTGATATGAAGATTACTGTCTTCTGAGAAGTCATGTTGTATAGTCTGGTAATCATTATAAATACTGCAAAGGAACCTCTTGCCTACACAAAGATGGAGGAAAGAAGTTCCTCCCAAATATTGGTACCTATCCAGGATACTTGGTGTTACCTTCCAGCAGACAATAACCTTCATTAATAATACCACTGTAAGACTTTAATGTTATGTGTCACTCTGTGTCAAATATTACACCAGACTGGTGAATCAGTAAGTGCTCCTGTACTTAACAGTCCTTAGACAAAATCGTTCTACTGTATCCATTACAAAAATCACACTGAACAAATGTCTCTACCTTTGCCCCTGAACGCTTAGACCTACAAAGCAAATGTAAGGACTTAACCTGCTGGCTCTTGTGGCAGGGTGTGATTATCATAACCGCTGCTTCCACCAGTCAATTTCAAAGGACTACAACCACTCTGTGTGACCTGCCATGCAGCATTTATATTAGACTCATCTGGTATTTTTGATGGCGGATTACAGTCAATTCCCCTGGGGAGCTGCTGTGTTGCAGTACTGCCAACCTTCTCTTGAAAAGTGTCAAGAAGGTCTGGTGCTGCGTTATTGTCGATTATGGCATTTGTGGGGGGCTGGATGATGCTACCATTGGCTGGATGTTTTCCTGAGGGTTCTTTGCTATGGACCTGGCTGCTCCAGTTCTCCCACCTCTGATGACGTAATGAAACTGTTCTCTCATCCTGGTTCTTGGCATTTGTAGGCCTGTCAACTATTGAGAATACAGAGATGTAAAATTAAAATGCTGCTAACTGTGCAGCTACTCAAGAGCTTCCTAGCATTTTATGGAAGCCAAAGGTTCATTACCATGTTCACAAGACCCCTCCACTGGTCCCTATCCTGAGTAAGATCAATCCAATCCATACCATCCCATCCTATCTCTCTAAGATTGCCAAGGTGTAGGACCACCCCCTGTCGGCTATCTATGACTGCTTATTCAATATATTCACAGCTTCTCTCCATACCTTGAGGGCGTCTCCTCCATCCACAACCTGAGGACGCGCCATGCCATGGTGACAAGGGACCCACCGAAAATGGAATGTAACAGCACACAGAAGAATGAAATGAAACTGGTGCAACTCGCATAATTTACACTTCTGTATAACTTACATACCCCTAGTTTTAAACAGAAAATTCCCCACAAAATGTTAAATATTGTATTGTTTTAAACAGAAAATTCCCAAAAAATACTAAATATTGTATCTTTAGTCATAATACATAAATTTTGGACAACATGTGATCAACATAAAATGTATTATGGCAACATGGTACGTTGTAATTTAATCACAGTGTTGGTCAAAATTCTATCAAGGGGAATTTTCGTGTCAGTGTTACTTAACAAATCGCACAGTAGAGTCTGTATGTGAAAATATCCATACCATGTTGTCACACTGCGTTCAGCTTCAGTCACACTTCCTGCAAATATTACGTGTTGGTCAAAATTCTATCAAGGGGCATTTCTGCCTAACTATTCATCAAGAAATTACATGGTGAACAACTTAGGCATGAATGTCCACACCATGTTGCCACAGTACATTTAAAATAAATTAAACCAGAGAGGTTTCTTTGTTTTTTTGAGCTGAACACATATGGTCGTACTCCTTATGGAGCATCCTTTCTGGCCAGAGGATGGGTTTGTCTTTTATGAATAGGCTTGGCCTTTGTCAAGTGTACATATAGCACATTTAGGATTATACTAAAAATGCGTTCCTTTTACAATACTTTGACAAGAGACCTGACAGCTAGAATAAGGGACCAGAAAAACAGCCACTGCTAGGCAGGAGCTTTGTATTTATGCAACAATACCAGAGCCATTGCTAAGGAACATCCACATGCACCAATGGAGGAACTGCTGGAAGAAGCATTATCCATGTGGTCTGTGCCGAGGCTACATAAGGAGTTGACTGTGCATTGTGATTTATTTCGGCAGTTGGTTCAGCATGCGGAAGCCAGACAGTTCAGCTTGGAAGCTGGTCGAGAACTGACAGATGAAGTTGGAGGCTGGCAGTTGGAAGTCAGCACAGGCTGGGAGCTAGCAGCTGAAAGAAGTACCGGCTGAAGCCAGAGGTCACAGTAGGAGGTTGGGGTGAAATGATCGCCACCTTCTGATGCCATGAGCCCAGGAGGGCAATGTTACTGAGAACACTAGTCATGTGTGACAGTGATCTGAGAAGTACAGTCACAGACTGTAAAAGTGTCCAATAAATCCAACTGTCAATTCAAAACCCAGCTATCATTATTCTAATGCATGAGAATTGGTGTCAAATTGGATTTATTGGACGGGAACCCAAGTGACATATTCATGATGCATTACAAATATCTTGTAGCCATCTCTGAAAAGTTTGGGGCCAAGATGATGGCCAGGATACAGCCTGACCAAGAAGCAAGGGAAGCTGAAAGTACGACTCACATAGAAGAAATGAAGCCCACTGATTTGGAAGCAAATCCAGAAGAAACAGTGGCCAAAGCAGAGCATTAGAGGACCAACCTGGGAACCAGCAACTGCTCGTGGGATACTTGAACCCAAGAAAAGGTTGGCAAAGGACAAAACTGTATGAGGAACCCCTAAAGGAAGGATGTTCAGGAAGAGATATTGGGTGCAGCCAAAATAAAACAACTGCATAAGGGATCAGGGCCTGAAATAGCAGCTACTTGGAGGCAAGGAGACAGACCATAGAGCTGCAGGTTGCCAAGCTAGCAGCTAGGTCTTCCAACAGGATTCGAAAAATGAGTGTCAAAACATTGTGGAGGAGCTGGCCACCACCCATGATGCTAAAAAAGTGAGTAACCATTGCTGAAGAGCCATAGATGTAAAGCGGTTTGACAATAAAGTTCGCGAACACATTATGGTAAAAGTGCTACATCCCTCATTGCTGAATATAACTGTGTTAACCTTCAAAATACTCCCTTTGGGAAGCTAAGCTCCCAAGCCAGTGCCTAGTCCACCCTTCCTCTTAATTTTGGAACTGGTTTTGTGAAATTACCTTCAGAGCTGCCGTCATATTACTCCTGATGTCATCAATGTCATCAAAATGCCTTCCTTTCAATATTTCCTTTACTTTCGGGAACAGAAAAAAATCATTGGGGGGGCTACATCCGGTGAATAGGGAGGGTGTTCCAGCAGAGTTATTTGTTTACTAGCTAAAAACTCTCTCACAGACAGTACTGTGTGAGGTCCTTTAGAACATTTTTGCACCCACCTTCCTCATGTCGAGCTATTCAGCTGATTTCTTCTTCATACCAATATCCTCATAAACTGGCACGAACATCTCTCTAATTTCGCTTCCACTCTTGCCAAGTTTAACATGAAAATTAATGTCTGCTCCAACATTCTCACAATGGCACACCAAAACACACACACAATAAAAGGTGCCATTCAGAAACTGCTATAGATCAACAGCAACACAGCTGTGAAAACGCTGATATGCCAATGTCATCAAGTCATACTGAGGTTTCTGTCCACTGCTGCCATGGCAAGCACATGTGGCGAGTTCACGAACTTTGTTGTCAGACCTTGTAGGAAACCCAACCACTCTCAGAAGTTTTGCCTGCACCGACTAGAAAAAAAGGAAATGGCAGTACGCCTGTAGGCTACTTGGGATGAGCATCCTTAAAGAGGGAGCAATATAACATTATAACTGAAGAGGGACCCATTACTAGGTTATGGCACAGTAAATGGCCCATCAGCATAACAATGACTTCTCATGCAATAGAGGAGCTCTGCAGTCCTATTCTGATTGTGACATCACACAACAATATAAGGACTGGTGGAAGTGGTGTTTTCTGTGTGGTCCATGCTGAGGCTCTATAACACGAACCACCTGTCATTATGAGATAGTCATAAGACAGTGGCCTCCGTAGTCTAGGGGTAACGTTCCCACCTCATGACTCAAGATACGCGGGTTCAAACCAGCGGAGGTCGTGGAATTTTTAAGGGCGGAAAAATTCAGGGAACAAGTCCTCCGGGAGGGACTTTAAGCCGTGGGTCCCGTGTCATAGCTTTACGGCACGTAAAAGAACCTCATGTCTCAAGGAGACCTCTGAGCCAAATTGAAGGACATTTCCCACCCAACAATAGTCTCTAATGCCTCTGGTAGATGGGGGAAGCATCTAGATACCNAGAATATGGGGCTGGTGTGAGATGGCTCCTGGCCTTTGAGCCCAGAAACAGAGGAACGTCCACTGTTGGAAGATGTTACTAAGCAGCACAGTGACGACCATGATTGAGGACATTAGTCTGTGTGTGACAGTAATCTGTGAAGTGTAGTCTAACTCTTGAATAAATCCAGAAGACAGAACTAGGATATGAAGAAAGCAAAGTAAGTAAAGTAAAGCTATCCCTGTAAGAGGCTGTGAAGGCCCATAGGGTTGTGAGATGTTGAGGGTCCCACAGTATCTAGACAATCGGCTCAAAGTTGGCGGTAAGGTTGTCAGCCTTATGCGCCGGCCGTGCTTTACTCCCCAGGAAAATTATTTAATTCATTCCTGGTACTCATTTCTGTTAGAGGTTGAGTCGACCCCAGGGCCATAGTGCGGCTGGAAGGATTAGGTCAATTGAAAAAATCCAATGACATGATCGGGACTTGAACCCACAACCTTCCAGCTTGTAGCATAGTGCCTCAACAAACTACGTTACCGCATGCCCCCAGGATATGAAGAAGGGCATCAGAATTAAAAGTTAAAATGGCAGAGACAACACAGAACTATGAGGTTCAGAAAGGAGATGCCATACGGCAACTCACCCCAGAGGAAATGTCAGTGGATAATACTAATGACAGTATCAACTCACCAGACTCAAGCTTCTCAAGAGAACTGTCCTGAATGTTGTTGTAGTTGCTGGTCTCTTCGTTCTCGTGAGTCTTGGCCTCGTCTGCCACAGGGACAGGGCCTGAGACCTCACCTTCCGGACTCTGTACAGTGGTCAGTGTATTCCACCAACTTGACAGTGCCCCACGTGCTTGAGACAAAGCTCCACCTGTGCATACGTAGAACACCTATTACAAACATATTTATATCTCACTTATGTACCAATGAAGAGTGGATGATTACATTGCCTTATATTATACTGCATCCCCTGTATCCAAAGTCAGTCAAAATGAATGTAGATCGCGGAATATGTCATATAAATACAAAAAAAAAAACATGTACAGTACAACTGAAGTTTTCACATTAGAAAGCCCAAGAAAACACAGTGGTTACACATAAGGTACACATATCACCTGGTGTGATGGAAGTATGCTCCTCAGTCTGCACCGACTGTTGAGTTCATTTTACATGATTATGAACAAAGAAATATATTAAGGGCAAAGTGAAAGTGATAAAACAGAAATTAAATGCTTTGACAAGGAGACAGAGTTCAAACTTGTTAAATGAGCAAGAAAATAAACATAATAATGCACTGACCATGTAAAAAGAATGGATAGAAGACACCAATGATCACATCTGCAGGGTTCTTATAACCATTTGTAAGAAAGAGGGACTGTGTACATGCACGCATATGTGTGCGTACGCAGAAAGAAATTCGAACTCACCAACAGCTCGGCCTGTGGTAGCAACAGCTCGGCCAGTTGAAACCATGGCCTGGTTCAACTTGCGACCTCCTTCTGTGTTCTGCATTGTACTGGAATACACAATAATCACTGTCATCTTCCCATGTAACAAGCTTTATTAGCTTGTTTCAGTTACAATGAAAACTGTCTAAAATACATAAAACACAACTCCCCTTTAATGCTCCTTGAGTTACAGTTATTCAGCACTTAACATCCAACTTCAATGATCCTAAGTCAGTAATCTCAGCGCTCATTTCCTCCACACAAGATTTCCTCAGTTTAGTATTGAATTCACTGATCCCAAAAGAAATTTTAAATAGGGAGGAAGAGGGGTCATTGTATTTGAATCAGAGAATATGTAAAACTTCAACCCTGATGAGAGATGCAGCATATTTGCAAAAAACACTGGTATCTATCTACAAATCTATATGGTGTCACAACCTTAAGACCAATACCCAAACACAAAATTACCCCTAATAAATGGAGCTGTTTAAGGTCAAGACAGAAAATAAAAACAATTTAAAGAAAGAGTTTGTTCTAATTTCCACTGTTCTCTGTTCATGTAATTTTGTATGGTATTATATTACACTGGCTTTAGTGCCAGTCCATCTGGTGGACCCAACAGAATAAGTTTTAGCTGAAGAGGGTAGCACAGCCAGCTTCTGAAATGTTCCTTTAACAAAAAGAAGATAGAGAATACCTAAAATGCAATTAAACACCCATTTAAGGTTTCTGCTGAGAGCAGTGGGTATGGAGATAACCAGCAGAATGCTAATTACCCAAATCCCAATTAACTGAGTCACTGCAACCAAGGAATATGCCTGCTATATGAACATCACTGTTGGACTTTCTCATATAAAGTGTGTGAAAATGTTAATTTATAATTACATTCATTAATTGGGATTGCATGTGAGCACCAGATATAGCATTCAGGAATGACACCAGTAACAAATATAATGATACCTCTCACACAAGCACAGATTTTAGTTACCATTGTTGGGTTTCTGATTCAGGTTACGGCATGCAAGCACATCTTACATTCTGGGAGGCCATAACAGCAGCATCAGTCACGCAACAAACAAATTTCATTGGGGATTACATAACAAGGCATCCTGCTTCCATCTGCCTGCTACATCCCTCTCAGTTGCCATTATGACTGAGTTGGCTCAACCATAAATAATGACGACGACCATGAGAACAAGAAGAACATCAACAGTAACAACCATTAGGCAGGCAAAAACATGCTTCTAAAGTATCTGGCAAAAACTCGTATGCACACACTCAAAAACATACACACATACTCTGTCTGTGTGCAGACTTACTGTGCCAATCGAAGTTTCATGTCTGCAACTGACAGCTGACCAGCAAATGGATGTCCTGGGTTCAGATCCCAGATACCCGTGTGTTCCCCACTAACCCACATCTTATAATTGTGAGTTGCTCTCCAAGCTGCCATAAAACTAGAGTTGAAATGTTCTGCCTCTCGACTACCATCTGAAAATATAAACAAGTTTAAGCTGGCATAATTTTTTCTTATTTAAATTTACTTAGTGAGGGGTGGAGTCCAACTGGGTCCACTCGGCACGGCAGCCACTGATTGGCCTATTATACCTGCCCTGGGTGATTATGATGGAGAAATTTGTGGAATGAAGATTGGCAGGGGAAACCAAAGTACTCGGAGAAAACCCGCACCAGCACGACTCTGTCCACCACAAATCCAACTTGGCCAGACCCAGGATCAAACCCGGGCTGTCGCAGTGGGAAGCCAGCGACTAACCGCTTGAGCTATGGCACGGCCCAAAAGCAGGCATAACTTCAACTTTCAAGAATAGGCCACATCAAATGTTGATGATGTTGTGTTTCGGAAAACATTTTAGTTGACATCTTCAGAGCAGATGTCTTCAACGAGGGGGACAGAGGCCTTAATGTAGATCTGGCAGTTTAGTGACATGGAGTCACCCACGGAAAGCTCCACAGTAAGAAGTCAGCATTGAACCACATGATCTACAGTATGGCTTCGTTAGTGAACTTCCTTACTGCTGAATTCAACTGATACATTATACAAGCAAAAAGTTTTGATATGAAACATGAATAACCAATCTGACTACTAACACAACTAAAGAAAACAAATCCCTACCTTGCAAAAGAGATGTGCGCAGAAGGCAGAGGAGATAAACTCGGAACTGTGTACGAATCCACTCATCTCCTCCCTCCCAACCAACACCATCCAGGAAGACATCATGGCGCTCTTCTGCTACATGCCTCACAATGTAGTCAGCAAACCTCAGGTCCTCTGTTGTGAGATGCAAATGTCGACGTAATTCTGGGTCCTGTGTCTCTACTCGGGCCCCCTCCACCTGTCACAAAAGTATGGGACATCACATTTCATTCTTACAGAACAGTACTATCTTCTGTGGATTGGTGCCCTGTGGCTTAGTATAAGTTTACTGGCATTTCAGAGAAACATCTGCCTCTGTCTTGAAGACTGAAAAGGAAGCTGAGAAAACCAAGCAGAGAGGGATCCTGAACGAATCCAACAGGAGCAAGAAGAGAGAAGGGATCCTCAAATGTGCTGTGTGGCTAGATGGGAGAAGTAGAGGCACACATTTGCCCAAAAAGAGATATAGGTAGGCCCAGGGAGTATTGTTCTGCCCTGCTCCTTGCTCCACTTAGTTCAATCACAGATCCTATCCCAGCCTATACCCATAACACTTCCCTCCATGCTTGGCTTACCATGCTTGCTGTCTACTCAGCTTACACTTCAACCCCGAAGATAGAAACACTGATATACTCCTATGGGACAACAGGGCACCACATCCCAAGAGATGTCACTGTCACGAGAACCTCCAGTCTCACATCAACTTCTACATCACAAATGTGGTGAGAAGATAAAAATTTTAAAAAGATAATTTTACTTTGCATGATGACTAACCACATTCATAAAGCAGAGTCAATCTCATGCTTATGTGTCTGTCACAATTATAGGGGTGCAATAAACCAATTCATGTACCACATTTGAACTGTAAACAAGCATAAATCTGTGAGATACAAGGTACTCACAGAGGTGAACATGAAGGGTACTATCTTCTGGAATGACATCCCTTGCAGCCTCGAATATGTTTACTGCCCTGTCTGTCCTGTCACCCACAATAACATTTTCCTTCCTGTTTTTAATATTCTGCTCTTTCCTTGTACACTGCTTCCTGTCCTTGTTAATGACGAGGCCTAGCTACTCTCCCATTGGTCACTCATGCTCCATTTCTCCCATGTCTCTCTTGGGATGAAGACTGGCCTTTATAAGGCCTCACTTTCCTTCACTCTTCTACGTAACTACTAATTCGCTAAGGTCCCCTCATTCAAACTCAGCTCGCTCTACTTGGGGCTCATCTGGCGTACTCACTGATCCCGAAGATGCGAGTAAACTTGCACCAGGCTGTGTGGTGTCATTCTCCATGAGCTAGTACTCTAATACAATTTAACAGCACAATGGTTAGAGCTGGACTAGAGATCTTTCTGTGGCATATAAAATAGAGCAGCAGCTGGGATGTTTTCCTCACCTCTACAAGCACATCTGCCAGCTGCTTCTTCTGCTTAAACAGAACATTGGTTGCTCCAACAAGATAGCCTCGCACATTGATGTCACTAAGAAGATCCAGGTAGGGAAGAGACAGATACGGGTGGCAGAGGTACCCCTAAAAACACAGAGCGACACTGTACAGCAAAATATTGCCACTTCGGAGACATAACTAATTTTCTGCTAGCAGAATCCAAAGGCTGAATAGTAATACCAAAAGTCTGTCCTTGGACAATTCTTAGATCAAAAAATATGTACAATTTTTTGGAAACAGAAACATAACTCACTAACTAACTTCATGGAGCTGAACCCTTCTTGAGAAGTGGCCAGTTGTGCAGCCACTCAAGAACTTCCCAGCATTTTACGGAACCTGGAATCTCATCACTGTGTTCACAAGAGCCCTCCACTGGTCCCTATCCTGAGCCAGATCAATATAGTACATACCACCCTATCCTCTAAGACCCATTTTAATATCATTCATCCACCTACATCTTGGTCTTCCCAGTGGTCTCTTTCCTTCTAGTTTTCCCATCAGTATCCTAACCCTGAAACACACTACATCATTTGTATCCATCCAAGCATTTACCTTCTTGTAAAATACTCTGATGACTTGTGTAGTCTATGAAAAGGAAAACACACCAGAGAAATGTTACTTTATAGAAATGCAACATTGGCGCACCTGCGTGAAGAGCATGAGGGGTAGGCCGCATTGGTCAGCATTGATCTGTGCAATGGCTGCCAAATTAGACTGCATATTAGTGTCCCCGATGGTCTCAACGCTACTGTCACGAGGCAACTGTGGGTGCTCATGACTTTGTTGCTCTGTCCCACCAGCACCAATGACTGAGAGGCTGCCAGCACTATCAGAACTGTGCAGTTTCCCCTCGCACGTTGCCGACACCTGTTACATTAATGGAAATGTCAATAAACATCTGCAGCTAAAGAATGGGATTTTCAAAGCAGTGTCAAAACTAGTTTTTTTAAAGAAATGATTATTTGTTATGGTGCACCGCGCCCTTCGTCTTCCTCTCCACTGATTACTATTATATTATTATTATTACGAAGAGGAAGGGCACAGCGCAATCGTTACTGGCCCTATTGTTGGTTCCCATGCTCCCCTAGATGGAGATGGGGTATCCAAGCTAGGAGGAGGAAGCTACACTCAGTTCGCTGGCTTAGATAAAAACAAGTACAATTTTAATAAAAAATATATAACAATACACAAATAACAAACGACACATTTGACCAAGAAACTAATACAAGCTCATTTAGAACAAAACAATTTCCCGTCGGCACCACTTGTGTCGACACTAGACATATTAGGACGTTAAACACTCAAGCTATACAAACACAAGTCTAATTCTGAAGAATACCAAACCAAATCTAATAACGCGCGTCACAAGCGTTCAAGCAACGGCTTGCGACCGCGGGCAGTCCTTACCGGCCAGCCAGATAGCACCAAAAGGGAATTTAGAACAGCCCCAGCCGAAACCAATATTTTCCACAATAAACCTGCTGGCTAGTAACCGACCTTCCAAGGCAACTTGGTCTACACGACTGCACTGTACAAGGCTCCCCCTCACGAGAGGGTACATGGGACCACGTGACAGACGTCAGGATACTGCATAGTGGGGATGGAATCCATCAAGGGAAACATGATGACATCATACGTGAGCGAGCTAAACCTTAGAACGGCTCAATGGAATTTACATCACGTACAGAAATGCTTCAGTGAGGTAGAAGGATATCTGGCTGGCAACTGACTAGTATACTTACATCAGTGAGGAAGGGGGCATGGCCGGTATTGTGGTTACAATTCCCATCTTATTTTACATTGAGTGCATTGCCCTTATTTAAGATGAATGAAAACAGGCAAGCTAGTTCAAGTGCAAATGATACACCTAAACGAACATGGTAAGCATATAAACCGTTACTTCTGACAGGTAACACATCACATTCTTATTACAATGATGGACTCAAGAGGAATTTCACAAGAACAGATCTCCATTTGCAATATGGAAGTCAATAAGAAAACAGGGTTTGTGTTATGGAATTTCACAATACAGATACATTTTCCCTTCCGTAATATGTGGACATGAAGCACTATTGCACTGATCACATACAAAATTATACTTTGGTATACTCACTTCTAGCCAGTGTTCCTCCACTGGGCTACCACTAATCTCAGAAGGTCTCTCATTCTGTGAACTTCCTGGTGAGATGCCTGACTCACTCTCAGCAGCCATGTGTATCAGATCAGTATCTCCTGAAGCCATGCTGTCTGCTGCTGAACTCCAAGGCAGTGGTTCAACATGTCCATTGTTCTCAGACTCAACTAGATTTCTGTCTGTTTCAGTATTTTTTTCTGTCGCTTTTGTGACTGAAGTGTCGCAGGATTTCATACTCTCTGATGATGTATCTGCAAATTCTGGAATCGGTGACATAGGTCTTGATGGTCTGAAATAAGTAAATGTTTCATTCTGTGGCAACCTTACACTGACCTCAATCAGTAATTCCAAATTTCAGGCAAGAAGATAAATCAGGGTTTATATAGGTGAGACCTCACTAGGATCAAAAACCCATATGAAATGGACCCCTTTTTTTAATGTGGACATGATGGTGACTTAGAAAATTTGAAGGCTGAAACATAAACGTTATGACAAAATTAATGACAGTGGTTAAACAGGTGGGCACATTTATTAATTTATTAAGTAAAATAAACTAAGGGGATAAAATCAATAAGATCAACAGGGGATACAAATAGTTCTACATTTTATCAAACAATCATAGAAATAGCATGGAACAGATGCCAAAACAATTTATAAATCTGTATCTGTAGGGACGGATCCATGCAATGGATGTAAAATCTTTGAGAAGTACCAAGGCAGAAATGCAGAGACAAAATTAGAAATGTAATTTTTATAGAACATGGAATTCAGAATCTATAATTAATTAATTAATTAATTAGGTTGTTCACAATGCAAGAACAATGGCTAGAATGAGAATATGGAGAGCGGTAACAAAATTAAAATTCAAGGAAAGAGACCTTTGGGGGCCCCAGAACAAGATGGTTTAGCCTGCTACTGGAAGACATCGAAAGGAGATGAATAAGGTGGCAAGAAATCAAAACGAAAAGACAGTGGGAAGAAACATGAGCCTGGGGTTTTCATCCACTGATCTGGACTTCAACAGTGGTCATTTAACAAAAGTTTGACATTTAGAGAAACACTCTCCATTCCATCACAACACGTCCAATCATTTTCAAATTCAACGAAAATATCATATATCTTGTCATATTTCTTATTTCAATGTTAAAATGGGTGTTTCCTCGGGTTTCACTCTATCAAAGTTCATATTTTGGGACTGCTCAGGTCATTAGAGTCTAATAAATACTCACTTTACACACGCTGATTCCCCCAAGCCTCGCTCAATCATGGCTGGATGCAAGGACAGGAGTGACAATATAGCGGCGCACAAAGGCTGAACAGGCGAACGGTAGAACACTAGGCGGCGCTCCAAAAGCAACAATTTGAACAAGATCAGGGCCTTATGTCGGAACTGCAGAATGAGATCTCGAACTGACAGCCCTGAAAACAGCATATCTCGAATGTTGCCCAACTCCTAACATCACTCACTATTGGTACTGACACACACACTGCGCTCTCTTAGATTATGACACCATACAAACTGGAGGAACCTGCTGCTTCCATCATCAGGGTAGAAGAATAAGTGGTGTCCAGAGGAGCGAAGAAGAATGGTGACAGGGTATTGAGAAATCCAACAGGAGTAAGGAGAACAGACCCATCCTCCCTCTCCCAATACCTACACCACTTCTTTCCATGCATGCCTTTATTTTCTACCCTGAAGATGAGGGTAGCAGGCTCCCTTGAAACTTTGCTACTTATCTATTAACATACACCATGTCACATCCCAGAAGAGTGAAACCTTCTCTTAGCCAATCAACACCTCTCACTAATCTCTCTTTGGCCACTTCTTTGTCAGTGTAAACCGGGCTCCAGCAGGTTTATACAGATATATTTTCATCAATTTGAATCACTGGTGACAGAGCCATGTACAATCTACAGAATTTCAAGAGTTTCACTTACGGTTTATTTAATGACACTGTCATTAGCTCAAGTTTTAGAGTGCTCAATGATAAGACGATCAGAGAATAATGAAAGTTAAACAGTATGAAGGAAGTAACTGTAACCTAATTTGAGACACTATCCAAGAATTTGCATGGTGGGATTGGGGAAAACTGCTAAAACCTCAAACAGGAGAGCCGACTTCCAGATAGAAATCTAAATATGGGACCTCCTGAATATGTAGTCGGGGTGACACCCAACTGACCACAACATTTATTCGCCAAAGAGTTCAATTCCGTAGCACCACAGCTGGTGACTGCCAGATGCAGGTATTAACTACAGATAATATTTATTATATTCTGTTAGCACAACGCTATCACCTCCAGCAGCTACAGTTTGTTGTCTGAGACAAGTATCAGCACGTGTTCTATCTTCAAGTCATGTTTAGTGACACTTATTCCACCATGTACTTAGCATAAATTGTCCATGTAAACCAAGTGAATACACCAGTTTATTATATTGTGACGTGTTGCGCACTGGTAATAGGCAGGTCAACATCCTCCCTCCCCTCCCCCCCCCACCAGCAGTGACGCGCCGAGCAGAGCCGAAGTTAGCCGAGTCCCAGCATCCTGGTAGCTATGCAACGCGAGTCAACAGCACTGACGTCACCACGGGATACCGCGGTTACTAGGCAGCAGTAAACAACTCCGGACAGCGTTGCTAGCAACACGGCGCCAGGCAACAAGGGTGCCTATTACGTGGCTGTATTCTGTGTTGTCCGGAACGAGGCTACATAAGGAGCAGTGAAGGCTATTCACAGTTAGTTCTCAAGGCAGCTACCTACGAGTTAGTTCTGAGTCAGTTCCGAGTTAGCCAGCAACCAGTCAGTTGTATTCTGGCATTTGCGGTGTAATATTTGTGATACTGCCGATGGCAGTAATTGTCAGATTGTAATTTGTGTGATTGTAAGAGTGAATGTGAAATAAAATTCGCTACATCCAATAAGGCGTGTAGTTATTTGTCGCATTATACACCCAATACGTGACAATATATTACATATTAAATACTTAACTCCATGCTGCTGAACCCTCTTCAGAAAGGCTCTAACAGGTTGGTTCTTTCATCTACTCATTAACACTGTAGTTTTATTGCTAATTTGTAGATATTCAGTGTCTTTTGTGAATGTGTGGCACTGAACCCATCTATCCACTCCACTTCACACATTTTATTTTTCTGCGGTTCTTTCTGGAAAGGCTTGGCCTGGGTTCTTGTTTGCTGTTGGTAATTATTTTTTGACAGGAATGTAATAAACATTATCTATTATGATTCACACACAACTGGATGCAACAAACTATAAGCAAGTATTAACATTTGCTCACCAACATAAAGCTGAGGGGTGGTAGACTGTGAGAAATCTACTTCGGCGAGACAAGAGTTAAGATGGTGGTATGTGTCATGGAGGAGCTGCACTTTGCTGAAGTCACCCTCATCGAAGTAAGCATGCGTGATGAGGGCCATCTTCACCTGGATGTGTCCATAGAGGGGAAGCGTGCTAAGAACGCAAACAGACTTCTGCACTGTCCCCCGAGTAATGTCTGCAGTACGGTTCTTTAGTTTCTGCAAACACACAAAGCCCTATAACAGCCACTGATACATAATGAGTCGGACCAGGGCAATGTCTGTCGCCTTCTCACCATATGGTGTCCATCATAATCTTGAGGGTGCCATTCTATGATGCTATCAGTATCCAACTATACAGCGTGAGATGATACAATGACAGATGAATTGGAAGTTATTTAGTAGAACTCTCAATTTATATCCATTTGAAAGGAAGACAATGAACCATATAAAGATGGAAAGAAAAGAAGAAAATGTTCCATCACCTAATGTCCCAAACACAGCATCACTGGAACATTTCCCCCCACCTCGTCTCAGGACCATCCGGCTGCCAGAAGAATGTTCATTGCCTGTTTTCATTGACCATGTGGTTGCTGAAACATTTTTCACCACCTCTTTTCATTAACATGGATGCTCCCTATTGGCTAGCATACTGTTCCTCTATTCATCCAATCACAGCTTCAACTCTGACACACTCCCTAATGCAAGAGCTGTGTAACAACTACAAACCCCCCCACCCAAAGTCATTGACTCTGAAGATGGCAACTGCAAGGTTTGATGGAATGTTGGAAAACCCTTAAACATTTAATGCAGACTAGTCCCCCCCCCTACACACACACACACACACACACAAATATATTAATAATAATAATAATTTCATAGAGATCTGTGCCCTTCTTGAGAAGCCGCCAGCTGTGCAGCTACTCAAGAACTTCCCAACACACTATGGAACCTGAAAGTTCATTACTGTGTTCACAGGAGCCCTCCAGCCATACCACCCCAACCTACCTCTCAAATATAGTTTAATATTATTCACCCACCTATTTCTAGGTCTTGCTGGTGGGCTCTTTCCTCTTCTCCTCCATTTGTGCTACATGCCCTGCCAATTTCATCCTCCTTGACTTGATCATTCTAATAATACTTGGCGAAGAGTACAAGTTACGATGCTCCTCATTATGGAGTTTTCTCCACCCTCCTGTCACTTCATCTCTCTTCAGTCCAAATATTCTCCTCAACACCCTGTTCTCAAACAGTGTCAGTCTATGTTCCTCCCTTAACGTCAGAGACCAAGTTTCACATCCATACAGAACCACAGGCAAAATTATAGTTCTGTATATTATATATATGCAGATGGCAAGCAGAATATAAACAGAGTACAAGCAGAGTACAGTCATGATTTCCATGTGTCCCTTAAGGGTTATAATGTGTAAGCGTGGAAGAATGGAAAGGTTATCTGTGGAAACTGTGACTAGAAACGGGAAATGTCAAATTTTCCTGTTGAATTTTCAATAGGCATTCCAGTAGTAACTTAAAGTCATTTTTTGTGGTTTACTTTATGATTCTGTCAGCATTCAGGCCACACAGCACCAAATGGAAGGAAGCAGTCATGGTTGGTAACTTAACAATTACAAGTGGAACCTCCATTCTATATATTTATTCCAAACGGCAGTTAGGAGCAAGCTTTTGCATCCTCTTTTGCTGATCTCCTTTATATATGCCACTACATACATCTCATTCCACAAATTTCTATGAGCAGTAAGTAGAAAGATGATATAAACTGGATAAGACCTGAGCAATATCTCATATTCTCACAGCCATGACTATGAAGATTAGTATCTGCTAATATGTGATGCAGTCTGGTACCAACGCACTGTAGGAATGTGCTGCCTCCTTCCTCAGGGTTGAAAACTACTCTTCTCTCTTTTCTATCTTGAGGATGGAGGCAGTACAGTCCCCCAAAATGTTGGTAACAGTCTACCAGAATACATAGTGTCACATCCTAGATGACAGCAATTTTCATGAGATTTGAGGTTTTCACAGTGACAAAGATTCACATTGTGTAGCCCTGTAGGTGGTTACAGATGCTTCAGAAGGACCTGATGTTTCCACCTTCAAGATTGAAAGCATTTCTACATTGAAGATTGAGACAAAAGGTTCATCCCATACATTGGTGAGAAGCAGAAGGTAGGTGACAACAGAATGCATGTAAATGTAAAATATGGAAAAATCATAAAACAAATACTAAATATGAATGGAACCCCGACCTCTAAAACAGAAAGTCAAATTGGTATGCACTACACTAAAAAATTCTGTGGAAGAAGCAAAATCAATGCAGATAAAGACAAATATCTTTCCTATGCACATTCCACAATCAAAAGCAAAATCCCTGGCATGAAAGAAATGATATTAAATATTAGTAACTAAACCCCACAAAAATTTTCAAAGTTAATCGTGTATATGTGTATGTCTATAAACATTATATACACACACACATATAAATCTGATCAGTGACATGTGTTAAGCAGTTATCTTTGTAATGGAACATCCAATCATCAATTGTTCTGATCCCACCATCCAACGCCTTAAATGACACTTCGAATATGTGATATAAAACTGCATAATAAAAACTTCATACGATCTAAATAATGATTTGTCTCCATAAAATGCCCTCACTGTACTTAGACTGAACTGTCATAATGGCTTCTCTTATTTACATCCAAAGTTTTTTTCTTACATCACATACCTCAACAGGAATTTGTCTAAAACAGGATATTCCATATACGGTCTGTTTAGGATCTGAAAGACTTGGTAAATGGAAAAAAACCGTGTCTTCATCGAAGTTGTGTGAACCATCCGGTAGTGCTAACGTTGGCAGGTACTTCCAGCCCGCAGGACAAGCATGAGGATCTCCCTCCAGTAGTGGAGGAAAGGAATATTCCACCTGAAATTGTTTTACAATTAACTGGAGTTTCTGTTTTAACTTATAGCACACAAATACATAACCTCCTCCGCAAACTTGACAGGTACAAGCAATCTAACCTCTCAGATGTGCAAAATTACTTCATTTACAGTGAAGCCGTACAGAACATACCTGACATCCCTTTTTATGGTGAAAGCCTATAACTATTACATGAAGAATCGGTCCACTACATTCACTGGTGTTACTAATTTCGTTTGCCATTTCTTTTATACTTTAATTTCGCCGTCCATTCTCGCTTTACACACAAAAATCTATCCAACGTGACGCATTGATTGGCCACTGAGTAACTCCCACATGACTCGCCACCGTTCACAACATTCACAAGGTTCACAACGACCCACCAGTTACCGTTAGGCCGGTCACACACCAAGGAAACTGGCAACCGCAACGCAACCGCGATTTCCGAGAAGTGTTGTCAGCAAGAGGTGGACACATGTTAGTGAATGGGGCAGCGAAACTGAGGAAACGGCAACGCAACTCGCGGGGAGACTAAGAAACTCAATATCCAGGCAACGGAGAATGCCTGTCTACACACGACTGAATACGATTGAGTTGCCGGTTGGATTCCTAGAAATCAGTTTTTCTGTAACGCAGTTGTTAGTTAAGATGGCACGAATAGTTCATACTGTCCACCCACCTACGTCTTGGTCTTCCCATCTGTCTCTTGCCTCCTGGCTTTTCCAACAATATTAAAACGGATCTTAGAGAGAGAGGATGGGATGGTATGGATTTGATTCATCTGGCCCAGGATAGGGACCAGCGGATGGCTCTTGTGAACATGTAATAAACCTTCAGGTTCCATAAAATATTGGGAAGTTCTTGAGTGGCTGCGCAGTTGGCAGCTTCTCAAGAAGGGCTCAGCTCCATGAGTGAGTGATGAACTTAACCTTGAGAGAAGAATATTGGATAAAATTTTGTATGAAGTTGATAAGAGTGATATTGCCCAGTAATTACTAGTCAGTTTTATCACTCCACTTGTGAACTGGTACAATAATCTACTCCTACCACTGATCAGGCAATTTTTCCTTATTTCAAATAGAATTAATTAGCTATGGATCTTAGAACATAATATTTCACCTTCTGCTTGAATAAGTTCTGCAGGGATTTGATGACTACCTGGCGATTTATGCCTTTTCAATTTTTCAATAGCAATTTCAACCTCAGACGGCCTAGGATCAGGTACTAGCAGCTCATCTGTATATATTTCTATCTGCTAACATCACTGTCCCTATGTACTCATACATTCAATAGTTGAGAGTAGTTCTTTCATGTATTGAAAATGTTGTGGGAATCTGCAAGCAGATCACCATTCTCATCCTTCACTAAGTTACTTCTAAGTTGGTAACCCCGCTTGAAGTCAGTCATTTATTTCTCTATACAGGACTCTGATTTACTATTTGTTCTGTTTGACCGTGTCTCACGGTGTTGTCGCTTGCAGATTTACTTATACTTTTTCTTCAACCCTGAAGATGGGGGCGATACGTTCCTCCGAAACGTCGGTTAACACCACATATACACGGTGCCAAATCCCAGAAGACTGCTTTCTTCAAATGGAAACCTGATTCAGGAGGAGATTAAGAGGAGATTGAACTCAGGTAATGCTTGCTACCATTCAGTCCAGGACTTTTGTCTTCTCATCTGCTGTCTAAAAATATAAAAATTAGAAAATACAAAACTATAATATTGCCTGTGGTTCTGTATGGGTGTGAAACTTGGTCTCTGTCATTATTGGATGAACAGAGACTGAGGGTGTTTGAGAACAGGGTGTTGAGGAGAATTTGTGAACCGAAGAGAGATCCAGTGACAGGAGGTTGGAGAAAACTGCATAATGAGGAGCTTCATAACCTGTACTTTTCTCCAAGTATAATTAGGATGATCAAGTAAAGGAGGATAAGATTTCAAGGGCATGTAGCATGAATGGGGAGAAGATGAATTCATATAGGATACTGGGAAATTAAATGCCTGGAGTGTTTTCAAACCAGCAGAATCATGTGTAAGGTAAAGCTGTCCCTGTGCTTAACTGATTAAGCACTGTACCATGAAAATATATGGGGGAGTGGAGGTATAGCTCCACCATTCTTGACTTTGGCACTTGATGGAAGTGAGTGGTCATTGCCATGCCCCAGCTGCTTTACCCCTGGGAAAGAACCCCTGGTACCCATTGGATAGGAGGCTGGGTGGACCACAGAGCCAGTCTGCATGACACAGAGAAGTTAAAATTCTTACCCCCACCAGGACTCAAACTCTGATTCCTTGGTTGTCCAGCCCTTAGCCAGCAGCTATACCGACTGAGCTATCCTGGCTGAATACACAGGATTGGGTTCCATTTTCAAATTATAACCCTGCAATATCACCTGGGTGTTTATCAACCCCTTTGTATGTGAAATGCTTTTGACTCTGGAGGTCTCAGTATGAAGGTACGTGATGCCCTGAATTTGATAAAATTCTGAGAATTCAGTGGCTGAGCAACTGCTGGCTTGTACATAATGAGCCAGCTCCACAGAGTTAGTTACTTGGTCACTTCCATAGCTAAGTATTCAAACTACACTGTATCATCATCACCATCGTCATCATCAACATCATCATCATTGCCTTCATTGTTGCAAGTTATTGTTATTATTATTATTATTGTTATTGTTATAATTAGAGAGCTGGGATGTCTCAGTCGGCATAGTGACAGGCTACTGGCTGGATGGTCAGTGCTTAATTCACAGCAGGGACATTTTTCTCTACTCCAGTGTCCAGACTGACCTTGGGGCTCTTTCCCCGGGGGTTAAGCGGCTGGGGCGTGAAGCTGAACACTCACCTACAACTAGTGCCGAGTTCAAGAAAACGTGGATCTGTACATCCACTCTCCTACATGTATTGTGCTTAATTAATTCAGCACAGCGACAACTTTACTTGCTATACCCAATTCTGTGTTTACCTTAAAGATCTGGCTTCACCATAGCGCGGGATATTGCGGAAGTGAGGCCTGTCATGTAACTGGAGGGCCACTGAGTCACCATCACTGCACATGTGACATGTTTCATGCCAGAATTAATTTAATTTTGCTGGACTTGTGGAATGCAATGGAGGGATTTGGCGATGAATAAGGATCCTTAAGGTTCTATAAAGACAGAACTTCTTGAACAGCTGAACACTCAATAGCGATGGCGAAGCACTACTAATATATTTACCAAGAAACAATGAAATTTAGCATTTATCCTGTTTGGCCAAAGAACGATGCATTCCCCATAATTTCAAATTATTAGCCATGTGGTCTGAAAAACTGACTTGAAACGAAGCATATGATTTCACGTCAGTGGCATGCACTGTTACAGTATTCTTTGTTTCAGCACATTTTTGACATTCTCTATAACATTTTCCACCTGCACACTGATGAAAATTAACATTTGACATCATATACATGTGCCACAGAATGTAGTGTAATAAGCACTGAATGATGATCACACACCTTTGGTGCATTCAGACCTACCTGTTAGTTTCATCATGTCCATCTGTTTGTCTGCAATATCACACTGCCTCGCCTATGTTAACCAAACTGCATTTCACAGACCAATACAAAATTTTATCAAGATTTTGTTTTATTCCGGGGTAGTTTCTTCCCCCCTCGTTGGTGTCTTCACCTTATCGTGGTGAGGGGGTTTGAGTATGCCAAGGACCCTGAGAGCTATACCAGCGGTAGCGTAGCTACTGGCAGGGCCTCCCTTGCTGGACAGGTCAAAGGGTAGGCATCAGACGAAGAGAGACACCAAAAACCAAAAACTGATGCCGGAAGCAGCGTCATCAGCAGCGACTTGAAGCACAGAACAAATGATACTCGAGATGGTTCAAGTTCGTATAGCAACAGGCGTGACCAGAGTGGTTTGAACGGCTGTTGTACTGCGATGTGGAAAGCAAATGGAAAAACTACCACATTATCACTTTTCCTGGATAGTCTCTTTCCAAAAACAGAAGATCACATTAAGTGGAGGAACTGTTTTGGAAGAGACTGTGGACTGTGTGTCATCTGACAGATTACTGATCAATCAATCAATCAATCAGTTTCTTCATTTTCAAGGGTTGTGTTACTTACTGCAAAAGTAAGCATTACACGTAACTGTGGTTCTTTGACAGATTTACATAAGATTTGATCCTTGTTCTTATATTATACAAGTGTAACTGTACAGTTCTGTCCACTGATTTTAAGCCCCTCGATACTGAAAAGACTTGAATATATTTTGAAACGTGTACTTCAAGTATTCAAATGAGAAACCGATTTACTGCATGAGGGCCACAAGTATGGATAAACTACAGACGTAGTACGTTATATAACATTTGCATAAAGCACGGTCATTTCCAGAAAATCACTAGCATTAATTGATAAACAGTATTTAATTGCGTAACACCTAAATTCTTGTCCCAAATTCTGTTATCGCCCTGAACTTGATAATCTGTTAAATTTACAGCCATTTACAGCTCCCTTACTTTTTATAAACTCAAAACTGAAGAAAGAAAGGAAACTGTCAATAAACCAGCATCTTTTAAGTTAGCAAAAGCATTCTTAAACGGTTTAAACGTGCTTGTGAGCAAATTTTTTGGCTGCCCCCTCCCCTTGGAAAATCTTTGGGGAGGGGTGTATATTTACAGCAGACTGACGTCACACATAAGTAAAATAACATGTTTAAGGTTGGCCAGTCACTTGACGACCCTGCTCTGTAAAAAAATTTGCGAAATGTGAAGGAACGAAAACAGGATTCAATCTTGCAGAATCATCTACGGCCCCAAAACAACTGTTTCGCCCACATGAATATCAGGAAACGGCAATAACAAGCGGGAAATTATAGTACAGAAAAGCTGTCAGGCCGTTCTTTTTGGAGATGTTCAAAATGTCGGCCATTAGTGCCCAAACAGAGCATGTGCTGGTGCATTATCCACGGACACGCTCTATGTACACGTGTAATGTATTTAAGTTCATACTGAACTGAACTGAGCTGAATATAAACTGGTAGTTTTGTACCTAAAAATGAATTGAATTACAAAATTTGTTAAAAACAAAAAAGGCCGGCAGACAAACACGAAGAAACTAACAGGCATGTAGGAATTGTCAAGGAAGATTGCGAATAACTGTAACAATAGTTTCAATTGTGAAGATGCATCGTTCTTTGTTTCACCCGCTCGCCACGGTGAGGCACAGGATATGAGCGGGACCTGAAACAAAAGAAACAAACAAAAAAAAAACACTTCAGTATGAACACTAGCAAACGGATATTGCACTAACGAATGAACACACAAGCTTACCTCTGCTGTTGGTGCTCTTGCCATCTCTTCTGTA